TAATATTTCTTAACGTTTATATTGATAACCTTAATGTCGCAGTGCCGGCGTGAAAATATGAATACTACTACCTCTATTAATATTCAATGGCTACTAATACTAATAAAGGCTGATATGGTATTTAAGCTAATAACAAACGTGCTCTGTAGCCGAGCTCTAATTAATGCTATGAGGCTAAATGTAGCATCAACGTTTATGGTTACTGTCTTGTGAATTATTATTATTATATTTATTTATTTATTGATGTGGTATCAGTTTGTCGTGACTTAGGTGAGTACATGCGTTTGCCTGTTGTGTGAGTTAGTTGTGGTTCTGATTCTTCCTAATGAGGTCCAATGGGGTGTTCTTTGTGTCCTCTGAAGGTAAACATAGGCTGCCAGGCTACAGAGCTGCTGTGTAACATGGAAAGCTCAGCCTGTGTAAGCCTAGTCTCAATTAAATGAAGCCCTTTTTTTTATAAACTAGGTCAACATAGATTTGTTCTTCAGACCTACCTTTTTTAGACATAGAACTAAGAGTTTATAGTGTTAATATGTTATATTTCTACCGGATATATTGCCTTAAAGTTGACATTACATCATTAATTGCAAGTTCTCTCAGTATCCTGTCATTGTGCTTTATAACCAGAACATTGGCATTTCCTATATATCAGCATAACAACAGCTGATGTTAGCAGTCCTGAATGGATTTTACAGAATTTAATTTATTTGATTAGGGGCCTTTTTTTGTCTACAGGGCTGTTATTTTGATTAAGGTTAGTAACTTCCACCATTTAAGTGGCTTTTTAATTGTAAATAGTTTAATGCTGCCGTTATAATGACACATTTGTTAGTGAACTGCTATGCATTTTCACTCTTTTTGTCAATATATACAATGCCATTTGGTTCAGAGGGATCTAATGGATTCAGAGATGTCTCAGGTGTACTGTCCAAGTCCATGTGTGTGTCTGTACTTGATATTATCACCACAATAGTGTTGTGGAAACATGAGCTCAGTCAGTCCAAGCAGGGAAAAACAAATGACATGCATGCAAATGAACATAGACTCATACAGTAAACATAAATACATACTGTGTAAGCTTTTACACAAGTAAAACCTGTAAATCACTTGCTAAAGACACGTGCAGATTTATTTTAGTACAATAAAGGCAAGGTGACCTGCAAGGGGAACTTTGATGCTATGGACATCCGTATTGATGTCAGATTACTGATTATTTGTAAAGTCCCTTTGAAAGAAACCCTTTCTTAGCCTTTAGCCAGTAATGGAACACTGTGTAGTCGCAGATGAGCTGGGACAAAGGTCCGACAGCCGTCAAAGAAGCCTCTCTGTTAACGGGGACAAAGAGACATCTGTTAATTATGTTATTTTACTACTCCTCGCTGCCTTAAGGTATAACAAAAACAAATTACCTGGGATCATTCTGCTCCTCCGGGAACTTGGTAACCATAGTTACAGAGGCCTTGCCATCTGTCAGTAGCTTTATAACACATTCGGGTGGTGAAATGTCCAGCCATCTTTTAAAAAAACACTGCGCAGAGAAGCTCATTGCTGATGTTAAAGCGAGTAGTAATTGTTATTTACTACTTCATTAACAGCAATATTACTTCCATTTCTATTCAACCTCTATTTAGTCTCACTCTTTCATGGTATTGAGAAATTAGTATGACATTCACTCTACTGTTAACTCTACTCTAGTATCTTATCAGGTCTAACCCAACCCAATACCCACCCTCAAACTTTGTTATTAATAAAGAGATAAAATAAAAATCATTATACTTTGAACCTATAAATACAAAGTTGTTTTTTCCTAGCACAGATAATAAGTGTAAATAAAGGCATTTGGCAAACAGTTTTGTGTCTACCAATTCGAGAAATGCCTCTTGATACAATTCAGTTTACAGCTACAGCTGCTGCATTGTTTTTTGGTAGACAGAAGATTAGATGTGGGTGGAGAAGCTCGGCAGAAAGGAGTTCTCGGAGTGCTATTTAGATGTTTATAGTGTACATATACAGTGTGACAGAGGAATCCTGAGAGGCCTAGTAGAGATGCAGTTTCCCATCTGGCCCACTTTCCTTTGTTATGGCTGTTCTACATGAGCAAATCCAGTGATACAGGCTAGAATGGTGGTAGTGGTGGACCCGGATCTGCCTTATCAGAGGCTATTGGTGGTAAGTCGGGAAATGCACTTCCCACTCACGAGGTCTAGAGTGGAACAAATAGCCTTTCGACACTCAGCTGATCACAATCATTTATTGCGCTTTCTATATGGGTTGAACACTGGGACAGTTCTCAGATAGGCAGCAGCATGGTTTCTTAAATCTTCCTTCTCACGTTCGTCTCACACATCACACGGAAACAATGAATGTGTGATGTTCATTTGACATGTCACGTAGGTGTGTCTGTGTGAGGAAAACCAAGTGTGAAGACACTCTACAACCAGTACAGGCCTGTATGGTCACTGCAATCTCTTTCTGTCACTCTCTTTCCCATGGTTCAATTGATTAGCCACACCCTGCAGACTTAAGCTGACTCCTCCATTTGTTAAATCTGTGTGTGAACAGTAAGATAATGGTGTTTATCTCTGGTCGGGCTGATGTGGGTTGTGATTGGCCATTGATTCATGAGACACCCTCAACAAACTATAAAATAATATCTATAAAATGAAACGCTCTTCTGTCTTGTGGCTGGGGGGACTATTTTTGTGTGCCGTAAAGTCATGACATGGCAGGAGATGGGTTGAAGGATTAGGGAAGACAACTAAATAAAACTATATGCTATGGACTTTTCTCTTCTGGGAAACAGTTGCATCATTTTTGTGCCTGAAAAATGTTGTGTTCTTGTATCCGGACTCAGAGGAATTCACTGCCTAATGTGACCGTAGAGGCTGAATTACACCTACACACAGACACACATTGACAGACACACACTCACTAGCATTCTCCCTGCGGTCCATACAATACCACACATTGTTCGGTTCTTTCACTTTTTATTAAACATAATGAAATTAAGGTGCATTCACATCTAATCTTATAAAGATAACTGCAAGCTATGTTGAAGGATTGTTGCTTTCAGTAAGCAAAAAATGTGTACGGCTGTTGAAGGAAAATCAATATATCATATTTCATACTATATGCGCTATATAACAGTAAGAGTATTTTATGTGTATATCATTTTCATTGCACATTATCTATAATATATTCTTCTACAGGTATGTCTGCATGAAAGCATAAAAACAGGTTCCTTTAATATCTAATATTTGACACCTTACTGCACTGTGTGTATTCTCTACTGGCATTGATGAATACATAGGAGACGGATCCTCTGCCTGTCGTTTCTGTGGTGCCATTATTAATGCACATCATCCTATTTTCTTGTTATTTAGGTGATTTTTCAACCCAAAGATGAATTTTGAGCAGCCCCCTCCATACCCAGGCAATGGCCCCACTGCTCCTGGCTACCCAGGCCAGGGCCCACCACCACAGGGCTACCCAGGCCATGGCCCACCACCACAGGGCTACCCACCTCAGGGATTTCCTCCACAGGGATACCCCGTGAACATGGAGCAGCCTAATCCAGCTTACCCTAACTACCCTGTCGGACAAATGGGCCCTGGAGGTCCTTATCCTGGCCCAGAACAGCCTCCCTATCAAGGCTACGCTGGACAACCACAGTTTGGCTGGCAGGGGGGACCCCCTCCTGGGCCTATGTATGGGGAAGCTCCCAAAAACACAGGTGAGTGGTAACACACAACAGAGACTGAAGAACAGAATGGTTGGAACACTGATGTTACGAGAAGACACATGTTGGCAGGGAATAGCAAAGTTGAAGAATTGTGAAATAATTTGCACTCTTGAATGGTGTGTCAAAGTAGTGTAGCAAAAATCAACAGTCCCATTATGTAGACAAATTGGCTATGCCCTGACACAAATAGTAGAAGCTTTTCAGATGCAAAAAGAACCAATACTTTTTACCAAAATGTGCATTTTGTCACATTTTCCACATTGCGGTACCTTTTGCTCCTGGAATAAATGAGTTATTGTAGCATCTGAGGCCCTGTTTACTTTTTTGTCCGTATGCAGGCAATTTTTTACATAATGGGACAGGGAATAGGGCTGCATTGGGAGAGTCTAAAGGGACCGCTACGGCCAGCAAGCAGAAGGTCACATGACCGATGGGGCTAGCCTCACTCATATTAGCAAGGTGTGCAAGCGACTACAGTGTTATCTAGTAGCCCAGACACACACTGACTTTGGGTTTGATCATCTTGTTTTATAGAAATTTGTTTTAAAAATTGTTACAGTAGACACATTTTAGTAGGTATTGATTGCTGAAAATGACATATTTTAACAGAGTAGCACTGGGCTGTGCCTTCTTCATTATCTGATATTCCTCCAGCAAGACAATCTGAACAAAGGTGGTAGAACTGACTCACACAATTAAAGAATCTGAAGGAAATTTCTGTGATAAAAGAACTGAAACAGAAATTGGAAAGTCATTTATACTGAAGGGATCCTTACAGTATATTGTCATATTTTGGATGAATGATTGCTATATGTCGTCAGTCTGTTTCTCCCACAATCCCTTTTAACATTTGAAATGTTTTGCATCATTCAAATCCCAATTTGTCAAAACAAAAAAGTTTGTCCCTTTTAAATTAGCCCGCTGACACCTTCTGCTGTCTGTTACTCATGTGATCCTTGCCTTGCTGGTTGTAGAGGCCCCCTGGCCAGGCCTCTTTCTCAGAAGACATTTTGACATTTCACAGTTGAAAAAAGCATAGTTGCAAGTGATATAATCAATGATGGCTGAATTCCATTTAGCTGTTTCGGTTTCAGTGTCCTGGTACTGATCATGCAAGCTCATTTTGTCATGGCTTACTGGGACAGTAACCATAATGTTATTATCCACACCAATGCTTTTCCTGCTATGATAAGTGAAAATGTCTACTGTGAAAGAGGCCTATTATTTTCATTATCAGTTAATCTACCATTTATATGCCATATTGATTTTTTACTTTTTGGCTTATAATACATCAGAAAATAGCGGAAAATTTCACAATTTCTTAAAGCCCAAGGTGATGTCTTCAGATTGCTTTTTTTAGTCTGACCAACAGCTTCAAACACAAGGATATTCACTTTACATATAACATGAAACAAGTAAAAGCAGAAAATCATTACAATTTAGAAGCTTGAACCATCTGCTCAAAAAATTCTGTAAATGTTAAATCTGTTACAGAAATGGTAGCCCATTAATTTCTGTCTGTTGACTAATTGATTAATGAATTAATTGTTTCAGCGACTGGAACTGCGTAAATGCAAAACGTGTCAGAATGTAGAGTAAAAAGTGTGAAGTTGAGCGAGGTTTAAGATAAAAGGTGTGTTAATGCTGTAGCACCTCCCAACTGAGCATCCAGATTAGAGTGTAGTACAAGCTGTGAAACAAAAAGCACATGTGTCATTGTAAAATATTCAAAATGAATATGCAAAGAGAACAGTCGAGCTTTCTGAAAGCACAGTTAACACCTTTATGTATTAAAGCAAGCGGTGAGGTGTTACTGCTTGTGTAACTGACTTTAGATAAGCCTCTTCTGGCTGATCAGAGGAGAGCGGTCTGTTATCGAGATTCTCGCTTTGTTCCATTCTGATAGAGACATTAATTTTTAAATATTGGCCAATCATTAATCTTATCATATCATTATCAGAGTTCAGTCCATGATAAGCAGCCAGCGAGCTTCACTTTTTCTATTGACCAGCAGCTGGTCACCTTGGTAACGCACTAACCTGTGTCATGAGTCACTGCTCCTGGTTGTTAAAAGCTGGATGAGTGTTTCCCTCCACATGAATGATTAATCACAAACACAAGGAAGGGGAGATGTATTCGTTCAGGCCTGTTGTTTGACTTGTTTTTTTCTTTGTCTGGAACAGATGGTAAAGCTCACATATGGCTAACAAATTCCTTTCACGTGACAAACTTAGAGGCATAGGAGGAAGGTTAAATAAAGCCACTGCTGTACATGTGGAGTAAAGCGAAATTCCGTGTTGGAGCAAGGAGGTGTGTAGTTCAGAAAAAGCTCTCGTTTCATTGGTCAGTGATACCTGAAAGCGCTGCTAATGTTACTCAGCTGTAAAACGCTGTCTGATCATGGCTCTGGGCTGCTATGGCATTACCATGGTGATGTGCCTCCCATGATGAACGTAATTAGGGGAAAATCATAGCAGCCATGGTTACACTTGAACTCACAGCTGAATACTTGACAGTGTAATTCTGAGAATTATCTCCGGTTTTATGGAATTTTAGAAAAGGAATCACTAATTGCTTTCTTTAAATTGTGCATTCTTTCCAACTCCTCTTCTTTGCTCCTGCACTACACTCTCTCTCTCTCTCGCGCTCGCTCTCTCTCTTTGTTTTTTCTCTCCAGTGTATGTGGTGGAGGACAGAAGAAGAGACGACACAGGAGACACATGCCTGACAGCCTGCTGGACAGCTCTGTGTTGCTGCTGTCTCTGGGACATGCTGACATAACGTATTCCCCAACTGTTCACTCCCATTACCCACTTGCCCCTCATTTCTGTGCCTCGAACCCCATCACCCTCTCCCCCCATCAGCCTTAAACCTTGCACTCCCTCAAAATCACCCTTCTATTTCCTCGACACGTCTTGCTCGTCTATAAATATAAGCCTTGATCCCATGTGGACGTCTTTTATGTGCAGCCCTCAGCACTGACTGACATGACTGACCCTGTCTAGGGGCTACTCTGTAGCTGCTTGTAACTGAGCTTCTAAACATAACCTGAATCTCAGGCTCTTCTCTGTAATCTTACACCAACACACAACAGGCACAAACGCGCGCACACACACACACACACACACACTAAGGTACATACACAATAACACATGCACGCATACAGTGTACTTGGATCTCAGGCTCATCTAGTGTGAGGCTCTTTGGCACTTTATGATAATTACCTCTGTAAGATACTACTCCTGCCTGCCCTCTCAACCATCTCCAACCTTCCCTAACCCCCCTTCAGCTATGCTACTTCCCATCGCCAAGGACTACCCTTTTCCTGGACCCAAAGGCCACCAAGACCCTGGCTGCTAATGAGCTACAGGGCGCTCTGAAGAAGCTAATGCTTGAAATGTACCCCTTTCATTTGCACAGAAGCCGTTTTTGCCGATGTTTGTCTTCAAGTGAAATCATATGATAATAAATGGAATGCATTTTTAAAGATGACAGTGAGTTATGTTTAATTACTGTTAACATTCGATGGCCTCAATGTTTTTTTTTTTTTTTTCATGGTGATCTTGATATGAAAAATTATTCAAATATTATTTTTATTACATACCTTGGAGATAAAACTGAAAATATGAAAAAAAAGGAGTTGTGATTGCTTAACAGAAGAAACCAAATGATCTGTTAGATGCCTTTTCTGCTTTGGATGAGAATCTTGCATTAAAATAATTTATTCCCATGAAATGGAAGGCTTTGTCATTTGTGTGTATGTGTGTGAGTGCTGTGTGGGGTTAAAAGTAGGGAGTATAGATCAGTATGCTGTAGCTGTCAGGGCTTGGCTGGATCCATTCAACTATTTATAACACAGTTGCTAGAGCAGGATGTTGGTTGCAACATGGCTGCCTGCCTGATGCATCAACAATATGTTTCACAAAAGCCATGCTGCTTAATACTGTTACTCCACTACAGTTCAGAGGGAAATATTGTACTTCTACTGTTTTACTCCACTACAATTATCTTACAAGTACAGTTTGTAGTTACCTTGCACATTAAGACTTTACATACAAAACGAGGAATTAGTGCACAACATATGATGAATTGTTATTGATTAAACTACTCAACAGTATATTAATTTAACCACAACTACATTAAAGTACAGCTTATGTTTTAAATGCATTTACTTTACTTAAAGGTCGTTTTATTGCTAAAGTAAAGGACTTAAATGCAATGGGTAGTGCCACTACCTAAACCTGCATTAACTGATTTTAATTGGCCACTTGGGGGCAACAGAAACACTGTGTGTGAATATGTGTGAACACAACATTAACACATTATCACCCTTTAAGCTGAAATGGTGAATGTGTTAGCAAACAGTTTTATATTTACACATCCAGCAGCTAGGGAGCACCATTAACATTTTGGATTCCTGTTTGTGTCCACTTGGCAAATCTAGGTCCAGTATTCACTCTCCTTTTAGCTCTGTTTTTGGTATCTACTAACTTCAGAGGGAAATATATCTGGCCCTTTGCTGCCAAATTCTCCACTATATTCACCAGCTAGTGGCAAACTTTGTCTGCTACTTTTTTTTTATTTTTATTTTTTACAAAAACAAGCTTCACGCTGTGGCTGAAAACCAAACTATGGGAGCTGTGAGAACCAGAACTGTAGAGTTGCAGGCTGAACCACCAAAATAATGAGTTTAGAGAGCCAGCTAGATAGATCTGTGGACAGCTGCAGAGTCGGGTGATCATTTTCACTGGGTTAATCACTACGAGGAACTCCTTTCACATTATACATAGCCATCTGATCCATTGTTATTAAAATATTGATTATACACACTTCACTGTCTTCCACCACTGCTGAGAGGTGACGAGACATCTCAAATTCAATAGAATCCTAGGAGATAACATTTATCTACAAGCACTTAGGAGTTAACAGGGGTAATTGTAATGGCTTCTTAAAAGCACATCAAAATCGATGAGCAGTCAGTGTCAAAAATATTGGCCCCTGTGTACGTGGAATCAAGAATGTAAGGAAGATGCTTGGAGAGAGGAAGACAGTAGTTGTGCGTGGTTGTTTACTGAGATGCCATTAAGACATCGGTGTTATTTATGTATTTAATCTGTTGAATATCTGGAGCATAAATGTACCTTATCAGCAAGGCTGATGCACAATTAACAAAGAAGGAAAAAAGCTGCTTGTTTCAACAACACTCACAAAGATTGTTTTGAAATGCAACTCATGTAAATTCACGTCACTGAAGTCTGTTGGAAGTTGCTACTGTAAAAAGAACATCAATAATCTTCAAACAAAAATGAGATGAAAGTGAACTACACGTGGCTCAGTTGAAGTAAACAATTATGTTTTATTGATAAGGTTCTCAGAAGAGTCTCGTTTCAGTGAATGTATAAGAATCATCCTTTGATAATACTGATTTGGTACATTATGACATCCAGCACGAGTCTCTTCACAGTGAGAGGGATCCATTACTGCTACTGCTGTTGGGATCTAGGACAGAAATATCTCTGCTTCCAAACAAAAAACAGTCAAAAACAACAAACTGGGGATTGATATTGTAGATATGGAATATTAGAGTGCCACAAAACTCTAGAGTAGTAAGACCAGCTAAAGATTTTGCACATTACAAGCCACTTCCTCTTAGAAATATAAAACTTGATATTCTGGACAATATTCTACTGTGCTGCATAAAGGTAGGTCTATACACTGTACATCGAAATATATTTCGAAAAAACAGATTTCACAGTTTTAAAGACTTTATTTAAAGTATAAACCGTTTTTTTTAAAACACTTTATTACATAAATTATTCTTTTTGAGAGTGACTATTATTTGCCCTGGCAGCAAACTGAAATTAATACAAAAACAAAATGAACATTTCGTACATATTTTACAAAAGAAAATAAACTCATCCATTAATATTCATTTGGAATAAAACTGGTGACTCATTCATGATTGTCATATAGTACTAAGAATAAATAAATAAAAAAGAATAAAATAAATACTAACTTAGCATGTTTTCTGGACTGTGAGTGTTGTGTTTGATCGTTCTGTACAGAAGTGCCTTGGTGAAAGTCTCACAATTCTACCGCGACTGAAACGTACAAAACTACGGCATCTACAGTATACGCAACATCCTGAAATTTAGTGTAGTCGGACACATATGTAGTTATATGATTCTTCTCCCCATTTCAAAATAAACAATGCTGTGTGATACCACTGTCCACAAATATAGCCATCACTTTTTTTGACTGTGTTTTTTTAAAAAGTTTATTTTCTAGTCAGTTAACAGCTTGGACTTGTTCAAGGATGCCGTTAGCTTGTGTGTTGCTTGGTTGGATGTGCGCTGCCTCAGCAGCAGAGGACTGGTCCGTGGACGATGGGAGGCCTGAGACAGGGAGACGACTCATAGTATTGGACGACCTTTAACATTGCCTTGTCTGTCGCTGTTTATGATGTCCTCCATATATGTGTTGTTGTAATGGCTGCACTCTGAAGTGGCTTTGTCTCCACTTTGGTCCCTATGCCTTTAGTGTTTATTAGAGACAGACAAGCCTTCACCGCCAGCGCAGTACAACTCCACCGTTTGTTCAGTAGCTGTCATGGCCGCTCTCAGTGTGACCCAAAAAATATGGGCGAAAATATCACTATCTTTTTTAAAAAGGGGAATCTTCTTGTTCATTAAGCAACAGTTCTCAAAGTTCTTCAGTGCTTTTTCAGTTGTTCAAAGTTTTTTCAAAAAAAAGAATCATTTGACCAAACTTTAAATTTTTTGCCTATGGCAGTAAAATTAACAATATGTTTTCTGATAAGTCATTCTTTTCAAAAGTCCCTGCAGCGTTCCGCGAGTAACCCCATTTGTTGGTTAATTCTCCATGGGTTTTGAGAGGAGTAGGGTTGAGGAGGCTGGGTAGGAAAAAGGAACAGGATCTAGAGAAGTGAAAGTGGAACAGAGGGAAGAGTCTGCCCTCCAAGCAAGTTCAGGTGGGCTGTTACCTCTTGCCCATCTCATTCTGTCTGAGGAACTGGATGTTGTTGCTGCTGTCAGCCAGTTCTGGGTACTGCTCCACAGGCAGTACATAGTAGCCATCATAGCCTTGTACTCTACCTGTCGTTAGAAGCTGCTGTCTCTCCCCTTCCGTCCAGAGGCGACTGCCTCCCTTCCCATCCCTGGCCCTCTGCTGCTCCTTGGCCCAGGCCCCAGCCAAGGCTCTCTGCCTGGCCAGCTCCAACAGTCTTACCTTCTCTTCATCCAACACATCCACAGCGAGCCCGTACCGAACACTCAGTACTAAGGATGGAACTGCGAACTCTACAGTCACTCCTCTCCTCGAGCGGCCACTCACCGTTACATTGATACCACTCTCTAGTGACTTACGCCCATTGGTAAGCCCCAGAGCCAACAGATCACTGTCAGCAGAGCCTACTTTCACAAAGTAGTGACAGTCTTTCCCATCCTGGGTGTAATGGGTACCTTCGAGGTACTGGGCGCCATTGAGCACCAGAGCCACTTTACGGCTGTCATCGCTGGCCAAAGCTGACACACCAGCCACCACTCTGCCTTCTTTCAGAGCAAGCATTACCCCTCGGCCTATAATAGGGGTGCTAGTGCCAAACCAGTGCCCGGGCTTGTCCTTGCGTCTTCTGCGTTCTTTGTTGAGCAGACGACCCTCCAGGGCCATGAATGCCTGGTTGTGACGCTCTGCTGCCTGCTGCACACCCGTGATGAGCTGCATGAGAAAATAGAAGAAAGCTTTGTTACTTTGTTGAAGATATGGTAATGTAGTAACACACAACTGACTGCAATTACTAAATGTCACTGGGAAAGATGACTGGAATCTGTATTAACATTAACATTCATAAGAAAAGCCGTTAATATTGGCTTTAATTCTGCTGATGGCTATGTTTTCAGCACATTAGTCCTTACCTGTCCATTCTCACAGTGCTGGGTGGCCTGCAGCTCATACGGTGGCTCCACAAAGTAGAGCGAGTGTCGAGGGAACCCTGGGATTATGTTACTAAGCTGGAAGCCAAACATCACCAGCCAGCTCTTCACATCTACAGCAGACAGGAGGGAAATTCATTTGCTGAATAACAAAGTTAAACACGGTAGCAAATGGATCACTTATCATAAAAAAAGTTAAAGTGTATTTGCTCCTGTGGATCATATGGTGTTATGCAAAGCTATCAGCTACAGTGCCATCTGTAGTACATTGTTACTTACATAAACTATATTGTGCATAACAATCTGTTGTTCTGCACACAAGGGATAACAAAGACAATGTCAGGACATAACAAGCAAGCCTGAGTTTGTTCTGGAGATATACATGTGCCTTTTTGAACTAAGATTACCTTAGTCTGACAATTACAGTGTGGGTCTTACCTGAATATTCTACTTTATTGACTGTCTATTTATTGTCTGTTTACTTTGTAAAATGTTTTGTGTGAAAAATGTACTGTCTATTTTAGTAAAATTTTGAAATGCCAAGGAGAAATGGATAGCTTTGAATAAATGCCTAGTTTTAGACAAAGTATAAAATTGCTAAATTATGTAGAAATATTCATACAAAAGAAACTGAACACACATATTAATATATATTAACTGTCTACCTGTGACATAATTCTTGACATCCAGCATGTCACTGAGGGGGTTGTTGTTCTTGAACATGTACAAATTAAATGGAGAGGGATCCTTCCCTATCTTGGGCCAGATGCTGTAGTCAGGTGA